TACGGGCTGCTGGGCCAGGTGAGCGGCGCCGCTGCCCGCGTCGCGTTTCCTGTGCCCCGAAATTCAGCCTCGTATCCAGCTACGTCCTTCGAAAGCCGCTCGCTCACGAGGGCCGCTTGGCCCTGGTTTTGCTTCTGTTCACAGAGACAATACTGCTCAGATACTGTTTCATAAATGTTAGAAAAGAAACATGTTTATTTTATAATCAGGCAACTTAGGAAGTGGACACGGTTGAGTTTTATTATGAAAAACTGCCCCTAAGAAAGAAAATGTCCAATATTTTGCTAGCTATTACAAGGTGCCTTGGGCATTCAAATCGAGAACAAGCAATGTGATGCCTCATATGTACATAGTTTATATATAGATACACACATATATGTGTGTGTGTATACTTTAATATGTATATATATTTTAGAAGGGAATGGAATTTGCAAATATATAAATCTACGCAAAAATATATATAATTTTGAATTTGATTCCCGTCTGATTTGCAAGCCTGAGGTGTATGATGTGCTCTGCTCCTGTCACAGGAAACAGAGGGCTACTCGGGCTCTGACATCAAACTGGTCTGCAAGGAAGCAGCTATGAGGCCAGTGAGAAAAATATTCAACGCTCTGGAAAATCATCAACCAGGTACCGCAGAGAATCCTGTGTGGGAAACGCGGACCCACACTGGGAACTCTCGGAATTGTAATGGTAACCCCAGCAGGTGGAGCTCTGTTATATGCTTAGAAAAGTTTTAAACTGGGTAATTAAAAAAAAAAAAAAGTAGACCAATAATTCTAAAAAAGAGGTATTTTTCTTTTCACTGTCAGTATCTGTGCACAAACCAAAATTTTGTCTTCCTCACTAGCTCAGTTTTGTTGTTTCTGTGTATTATCTGTTGCACTATGTATTTCCAGTAGTAATTACAGTATTTAATGAGTCGTCTTCTCTTCAGATAACAGTAACTTATCCATGATCCGACTGGACACGATCACAACAGCCGATTTCCTGGATGTGATCGCCCACACCAAGCCCTCAGCAAAGAACCTGAGCCAGAAGTACACGGCCTGGCAGAGAGAATTCGAGTCAGTTTGAAAAGAACAGAACTACCCAAGCACCAAAAACTTTAAAGACTGTGGCCATCCAAAATGGTACCTGCGTTCCCTCCAGAGGATTGAGTGGTGAGGGAGAAGGAAGTGCTGCTGTTTTAAGACAGGAGAACACGATGGGAAGTGCAAGGGGGAAATCTGTGCTTTTGGAGTTGTAATGGAGGATAGTTTGTTCGTTATTTTTTATAGGCCCTTCTCAGTGACTATTCTAAAATATTCTTTGTGGAAGTAACATAACGGCAGAAGAGCAGTGCTATATAACAGAGAATCCAGCATTAATTTTATGATAAAGATTTAAAAACTGACTTTTTCAGTCTTTGTTAAAGCTGTTTTTAGGTTTGGGGGGGGAAAGACTGGAGTAGAATCATAGAATGCTTAAGGTTGGAAGGGACCTCTAGAGATCATCTAATCCAACCCCCCTGCACAAGCAGGGTCACCTAGAGCACGTGGCACAGGACTGCATCCAAACGGGTTTGAATATCTCCAGAGAAGGAGACTCCACAACCTCTCTGGGCAGCCTGTTCCAGTGCTCTGGCACCCTCACTGGCAAGAAATTTTTCCTTAAGTTCCTGTAGAACTTTTGGTGTTTCAGTTTGTGGCCATTACCTCTAGTTGTGTCAGTGGCCACCAGTGAAAAGAGGCCAGCACCATCCTCCTCACTGCCTCCCTTGAGGTACTTATAGACACCAGTGAGATCCCCTCTCAGAAAACTTGTTAAGAAGTTAGACATTTAGCCCTATTCTTCCACTGTGAGGCTCACTGAGGCATCACAACCCATGTGATGCAACCAGCAGCAACAGATGCTGAAAATCAGGCTGTCTTTAGCTGAAAGCCTCCATGTGCTAATGCCCATTATTCCCCCATGGGTTTGGGGTATTCCCAAAGGGAGAACAGCAGGATTACCAGAGAACTTTGCGGATTTGTGGAAAACTGGGCATAATCTACACTCACCAGCTAGAAACTAGATGGGTAGTGAGTTATCTAAGAGTTTGCAGCCAGCCATAAACTGTAAAGAACAGGTCAGCCTAACTCGGAACAGAGGTATCACAAGCAGAGAACAACCCACGTTCAGCTTTGTTGGTGTGACCACGAGTGTGAATTTATTCAAAACTTCAGGTTACAGCTTAGACCACTTTCAACAGTCACATTTTCTTTCACTTGTTACATTTGGCAAAGACATTAGTCTCTTGATTTTTTTTTCTTGTGTTTGTGTGTGTGTGTGTAAAGCAGCTGCCCATTCCTAAACCCCGCTGAGAGGGGGTGCAGCACATTTGTAACATAGATGATGTTCACCTGACCATTACACACCTAATAGTGCTAATCATAGATGTTATTTTACATGATATAACACAACAGCTGAAAAATGACCCTTATTTTCAGAGTTTTCTGTTTGTTTCTGGCATTTCTACTGGAGAGCCTACTCCATCCACACGTGTTTTGCCAGATATTAAATTAAGTGTAGGTAACCCCACTTAAGATGAGATTCCACATGGACAATCTTTAATTTATGGAGGACATCACCCTCGTTCTGTCATGATGGGTTTCCTTAACAAGAATCAGCATGGCTCATTACCACAAAACTGTATTTTCAATAAGGTTAATACTGCAGCAATGTCTAATTACAATCTAATAATTTAACACTCAGGAGCACTGTAAAACAAATGTAAAGGACTTTGATTATTACAGTTTGCAAATGTACCAGAAAAGCTATTTACCAGCATTAAAAAGTTGGTTCATATTGCTGTATTTAACACATGGAGGAAAAGCAACGCATCCTGCTGCATTAAATTTCATTTTATGGCTCTACTAACCAACTGCATAAAAACTCAAATCTGTCCCCATGGCTTGTAAAGATTTTTTTTCTCATAAGAGTAGAAAGAAACAAAACAAGAACAACAAAAAAGCTGAAGAATAGTGAAATTTTGAACTGGAGCATTAATAGGACCCTGAAGTCTAACTTCAAACATTCACAGTCTCTAAGCCTTTTAATACCAGATTTTAATGCCATTTAATAACAGCGTCTAGTTGAAACATCTGAAAATTTTACAAGTTTTGATCTCACACAAAAATTTGAAAAGCAAAAACCAGTGTCTGTTCTAAGAAGGAGAAAGATATCAGCAGTACTTACTATTAATTTTCAAGTCACTCCTAGAAGTGCATAATCTCTACCTTTAAATTCCAGCAGAGCTGAGATGCTCAGTGAGAAGAAACGCACAGAACAGGCCTGGCTCTTTCACTGAGGCTGCCTGGGGCTCCATTAGGGCTTCTGCTTTAGTCACTCGAGTAGCTCCAGTAGGATTTACAGTACAGCTGGTCTGGCACAGGAACGTGACTCTCTTTAGATGGGGTTTGAATCAGCTATTTCTTGAACGCTAAAGACAAGCAGAACTCTGTGCCATGTTCCCTAATCATTCACGAACACAAGCTGTATTGATCATTGTCAATAATCAATTGTCTGCTGAGCACCCGTGGGCTCTAACTGCATTCCCATGCAACCACTGCAGGACAAGGGCTGGGCTGTGACCGTGCTGGGGCCACGCACAGTCCTCGTTCCTCAGGGCTGGGTTTCATGCACTGATGCCGGGGCCTCTATTTTTGAAGGAAGAATAAATGAAATTGTGTGGAACGGAAGTTTCTTTGAACTCACTACACCCCTTCTCACAGCAGATGCTTTAGGATGTGTTCCACGGCCTCGGGGAAACTCTCGCAGGTTAAGTAAGGAGACGGATTGATTTTGTCTTCATCTGCTGCTCGGTATTTACCTGTAACATGAACAAAAAAATCCATTTATGAAGTTGTTCTGGGCGACCTGTCAGCTGGACTTTTTTTCCACCCCCTCCCCTCCAAAAAAACCCCAAAACTAGAGCCTTTTAGGGTCAGAAGCAGCAAGATATGGGAGGACAGATTCGCACTCGCTGCTACCTCAGAAAGACCTTACCAGCACACAGCATTACCACAATATTGGTAACGCTGAGTGTACTTTTCAAATCCTACCCGTTCTGCTTTTGTCTGAAGCAAAATGGCATCTGTAATTATCAGTGTAATTACCAAGGAATGTCATCAGTTTCTGAATGGTCAGAGGTTACATCGATGTGACGATCTTGGCAGTCTAAGATACCACATTTTAGATAAGCACCAGTCCTCTATGTTCTTAGACTAATACTCATATTTTAGTCACTGTAAAATTCCAATCTACAAGATCAGCCACCCCTATCTGTTACTGCACATCATCCTGCTATCAGGTAGGAGGCCCTGCTCTAAACCCGCTGTTCAAACATTAAGTCCCATTTACGGCCTGCCCTGACTTAATCTCAATCCACCTTCCTTAATGACGACCTCCTGCCTGACAGCCTGCCAAGGTCGGGAACCAACCTGCCGAATCCATCCCAGCCGAGCTGCTCCGTAACGACGCACTCAGCAGCTCCCGGGGGTACCAAACAGCACAATCCCAAAGGATTCGCGCTGGCCTCACTGCCTGACTTTAACTTTGCCGGCAGCAAGGGCAGGATTAAGTCACCGCTGTCCCTAAGGGACCCCCTGCAGCAACGGCACCAGGCTGGAGCCGTTGGTCACCCGCCACAGGACTGATTCACTAGGGGTTTTTTGCCTGACCAAACAGCAGTGCCCAGCCCCTGCGGGAGCAGCAGTAAGATCCGCGGTGCCCACGTACATCACCGATCATGACAGCCTCCTCGGGGGCACAGTCGGTCCCTCGTAAAGCCTCCAAGAAGAAGGTTCTCTCCGGCTTCCCCACCACTGTCGCCTTGGTGTCCGTCGCATATTCCAGGCCTGTCACAAAAGGCCCAGGTCCCAGGGCC